AAAAAAAAAAAAAAAAAAATGGCGAGAAAATCGCCAGGAAAGAATCGTGTCACGTGGGCACGGTGGCAATCGACTCAAGATCGGTCGATACGTCGAACAAAAGCCCTTTCCACGGGATTCCAGAGGATCTCGTCACGCGGCGTTGTTTTTAATCGGCGGTTATCGACACCGACACCAGTTAAAGAACCGCGTTTAACGATCGTGCCGTTAATTAGTAGGTTGCGTGGGTGGTGGCGCTCGTGCAAGAGGAGCTTAGAGTAAAAGGTAACGATGCGAACCTTGGAGCAAATTTATATAGTATAGATGAATAAGTATTTCGCGAAAGAACATTTTTGGAGAAAATTTAACTGCTGTACTGGAAATACTGTGTGTATATATGTATATACATTAACTATATCGACTTTTTGATAAAATTTTGAGATACAGGATGCAATCAAAAAGATAAAATGTGAACTTGTTTTAAAATTTTAATTAAAAGTTTTAAACTTAACTAAATACGCGTTAATTAAATGTGCCAATTGAAAGGAGAATCGTGAAATGCTTTTAAAGAGGTCAGAAACTCCGCAATAATAGTTAATAATTGATAATTAATAATTAAAAAAAAAGAGAGAATACGATTTAAGTAAAAAGATCATTATATTATAGATATTTATAATATCGATGAGCGTTTTAATAAAATTCTTTAAAAATATTCATACAGGTAAAATAAAGTTAATAACGTAATAACGTCAATATGATTTTAATCGAACCATTCGTTGGAAATCCGAGACAACGTGGCTTCCTCCTTCCTGATCCAGGATTATTCTGGAACATTATGGGACGATTAGGCGTGTCACTAACCCGGTATACATTTGCCTGGACGAGGCCAGGGACGGTTATCGACAGGGAATGCCTGTTGCACGTATCGAGCATCGACATTCACTCGATTATTAACGCTGCTGTGCACCCAGTAGCGGATGTCATAAAAGACGGACAAGATTTCGTGTCGAATGACATTCGTACTAGACAAAAAATTTAAAAGACTTTGATTGATACATTGATACATCCGTATCGAAAAAGGATTAATCCAGTTTTATGATATATGATTAATGGAAAACGACGTTTTGATGAAGATATATTAAAGAATTGTCAAAGAAAAATATCTGATATTTGATGGATGAGATTTTGTAGATAAATAAAGTAACAAATTTATTAATTATCGTTAATATATTTTATTATTATCTATAACTATAATTATTATCATTCTTGACTATATGTATATCATTTATAAGTAAAATAATTTTTTAATAATTTTTTAATTCAAATATTCGATTATTACAATAAAAGATTTAAATCTTGCTAATGGTTATCGATTCTTGCCTCATATTCTAGGAGTAATAATACTGTGATTACTGTGATTGATAGGTTCGGATAGAGTCATTAAAATAATCCACGTTAAATAGAAATGTCAGATAGAATAATCTTATTAAAGTTAGATTTAAACCTCGATCTCCGAGGATACAGTAAAAAGTGTTAAAAATTTTTTTCGAAGCATTTCTCGAATATATTATAATTATTTCCCTTTTCATTCTTTTTTTCATTTCATTATTTCTCATAACTCACATTGACATTGGCCATTAAACGATTAACATCATTGCTTTAATCACATTCGCGTTTCTAACATATCATAAATCTCGATTGCTCAATCATCTTGTCACTTCGTCTGAAATCTTTTTTCTCGTCATGGTTCCTCAAGTTCTTTCGTCTTCCGTCATCCGTGCGTGAAATTCGTCTGGTTTTCACGGAATCTCGGTATCAATTACCCAATATTTCCACCACTGTTGTCGCCACTTGTTTCGCGACAATTCTATTTTTACAATTTAGCAACGACACTCTGTCATTGCGCAAGCGCAATAACGATACACGCATCGCAAGGAAAAATCTGTTTACGCTTGTTCAATCAAAATTGAATTGCGCGTTCATCAGCTACGTCTCCTTTCGCCATTTTAATCGGTAGCGGAATAATCTCTGGGAATGATATTCCATCGTAATGAACTTGTCCCAATTAGGCCGTGGACGCTCGTTAGAAATGATTGTTCGAGCGTTGGCTGTCATTGTTTCGCAAAGTGTAATTGCTCGCCAGTCTTATTATAAGAATTTCAGGCGTAGCGATACGTGATGGAATCTGCGTCGAATTTGCATCGAACCTTCGAGGATCTCTTTTATTGCCCATAAAAGAAGAAAAAAGGAAAAAGAATCGCGTGGAATTGGGAAACAGATTTCATGAAAGTTTGTTAGACCAAGCTACATAGATTATATATCATTCGTGTCGAAGAAAACATCCCTCTTCCTCACCCTCTCCTAAAATGAAAAAACCCTTCGTCTTCTTCTCATCGTATCAGATTGGCGCAACATTCCGCCCATTTCTTCGTCCATTAGCATCTCGTTTCACTCCCCTCTTCCCCCCGATCGACTCTTTTCCCGCGTTGCCAAACAGAAACGCCTCTCCCCCACCCCTTATTATGTGAAAATCAAGCGGAACGCGTGTGCGACCGCTAATATTTCACGTACACGTTTGCACCGTTCGCTTGTTCACCAGGCAGCCATCAGGTGGGCGCCCGTAATTGTTCCACGACTATATAAGGTGTACCGCGGCCCGTTCGACCGGCAGAAAAGCATCAGGTCGTTGGTGGATCATGGCTAACACGAGACTCCTCCTCGTGAGTAACGATCGACGAGATTCTTTTCGTCCATTTTCCATGGATAGCGGTTGTTATCGCCGTAGTTGGTTCTAGGACTAATAATAGGATAATATTTAAAGAGTAGCAGAGGAAGAGGAGTAGAGATTGAGAAAATCATCTGATCGATAAGAAGTAATAATATTCTAATAATAATAATAATATTATTCGTTTTCAGCTCACGTTCTCGTGTCTCATCCTCGCAGCATCCTGCGGGGCGGGCTACGCCCCCTACGGGGCACCGTATCACGGCCCACCGGCGCCGTTGGCTCACGACGGGAGAGTGATCGACACACCGGAAGTGGCTCACGCCAAAGCGGTCCACCTGGCTACTCACGCGGCGGAAGCCGCCAAGGCATCTCCCTCGACCGGTTACGACGATTACGACGGGAAATACGAAGGGAACGGCGTTTACGTGGCCGGTCAGAGCTTGTACTACGGACCCCCGGCACCGTTGGCCCACGATGGGAGAGTGGTCGACACACCGGAAGTAGCGCACGCCAAGGCCGCGCACCTGGCGGCCCACGCGGAACAGATTTCGAAAATAGCCCCATACCAGAAGGCACATTGGTGAACGAGATGAGAGATTGATGAGGGAATCGTGGAGAGGGAGGGAAGATCAGGATCTTTTTCGATTTGCGTGGAATCTTTTCTTTTTTTTTTTTTTTCTTTTAGAATCAATTGGGATATTTTTTTGGAGATTATCTTGCGTTGTTTTTAATTCTGTGAAAGGGAAATAATGGAATGTAATGGGAAATTGTTTTGCGAATTTGGAGAAAGAGGGAGATATAGATTATGGATTGTAATGGATGATGTATAATTTGTTATGTTATATATATATATATTGATTAAAAATATTGCAAGTATTTATCCAATATTTTTTGTTGATTCTTCTTCCTCTTGTACTCTGTTGTAAAATAAAATGTAACGATGGAATGGAAAAATTTTAAGTAAGTATTTAAGTTTTGTGAAAAAGCGTGCAAAAATTTATGAATTATATGTATAGATAGACAGGTGGATATGGAGGATGTATAGAAAAGTTGTAAAAGGAGAAAACTTTGCGCGCCTATACCTGTCGATATGATTCAAGGCTCTAAGGGATAATAATTTATTGCAAAGTAAGTTATTACAAGTTGAACACGACCAGTTTGGATTTTTCATCCGATACATAGAACGGATCCCTAAATGGAATCGAGCTTTCATAAATCTATCAAATATGTTTTGTCTTAGAGCCCACAAGACACTTATGTGCAACACTTATATGCATTAATTTTATGGTTATTATCATCCGTCAAATATTTTGCACCTAAAATCTATAAATTTACGAATGAGAGTGAATTGCAAGCACGAATAAATCGTTCATAAAATCGGCCATTCTTCGTACAGAAAATAAAACTGAATTATCTTCGAAATTATATTATAATAGCGTTTACATGCCAATCATAAAAAATTCATAAATGTATAAAAATACATAAAATGGCATATCAATGCAAAAAGTTGCATGAAATATTCATTCACAGGAGCTGAAATTATTTACGACATTATTATCAAAGAAATTTCAACTACCGTGATAAAAATAAGGAAAAATAAAAAAAATGTATGTAATATGCGAAAAAAGAAATTTAAAACGAAAAAATTATATTATAATCTTACACGTTAGTTCATTCGACAGAGTACTGGTGTAAGACACGTGATAACATCATTTTATTGCAGGTTCAAGAAAAATGACGCAAGTGGTATAAAATATCAATGTGACGATAATCCATAATTATAATATTATCTATTGTTTCCTGGTATTCACAATAAAATCCTTTTTTCCCACCTAATATTTCCAACCATCTTCAACAACCTCTTAAATTTTCATCATCGACATCTTCATACTCTTTGAATATCATTAATAATAAAATTCTTTAATAATAAAATTTTACTACTTAACATTTTCTTCGACAACGTTTCAATCTCCCAAATTATCGTCTAACGTCTTTTTCATATTTTTTTAACGATATTCCAATCTCGAATGAACGAGAGAGAGAAAAAAAGGAAAACGCAACAATATCTCTCTATTATATCCTCTTCATCTGCATAACACGCGGCGACAGCGTGTTTCACAAGTCATTTCACTCTCTCGTGTCCTCCACGAGCGATTTATCATCGGTGCCTACAGCAAGTGGACGAAACGAATTCCTTCGATGGTCGCCATTCCGTGTTCACCCACCTATACGAATCCGCGTGTGTTGTCACGCGGCGTCACAATCCGTTCATTCGGTTCTCTATCCATTCTTTTTTTCTTTCTTTCTTTCTTTCTTTCTTTCCTTCCTCCAAGAGAGTACAGTGCAGCAGTTGCGACAGTTGTGCACGGTTCAAAGACCACATCTCGCGCATTGTTCGCGTGCTGACCTGAACGGAACTGCGAGCTTGTCGCCAACGCTTTGATAACGAGAGAGAGACAAACGTGTTGCTTGCTGGCCGCAAGTTTCTCACCGAATTGGAATGTTTCTGAATAATATTTCAATACAAGAATTATATTATAATTATTTTCTCAGATATTTATTCTCTACTTTTCCGAAAATATTATTATCTCAAATAAATGAATCTTTTCTATATATTTTCAAAAGCAATATGGAAAATAATTTGGGATAAAATACGTTCAGATCTGGGCAAAACGATTTCCAATCACCTTGTTACGTTAGGCATTAAAATCTCCAGTTTACTTGGCTCATAATATCCATCCCGAGCATCGAAATCTCCGTTTATCCCGTTAAATAAAAATTGATGAACAATCTTCCTATTCGTTTCTTTTCTTTTTTCGTCCTTTCTCATTCTGCTCGTTCGATGAAATAGAAAAAAAGTATATTTTCGATCGAATCTTGACTCTATCAATAACAAGTATCGTGAACGCTTGGATTTTCGAATTTTCGAAAATAGTTATTCAACTTTTACTACATCGAGGACGACGTGATCGGATCCGCGATGACGTGCGTGTCCACGCGCACATTGTCGTGTATTTTATTCCTGACGAGGTTACACGGGACACACTGTGTCATTGTTAATGGCTTGGTAAATGTTACGAGGCAGGGCATGGCAGCCTTTAAAGCAGAGCATTTTCCTGGGTGTGGTTGTGTACCCCGTTGGTCGCGGATGGGGTGGGGCACGCGACGACGCCCCGTACCCCTATAAATTCGACGAACCACGATGGTGGAAGTCATAATGCGAATCCCAAGCTCTGTCGATAGTCGCTGGATCGACCTGCGCCGAGCTTCGACATCATGATTCAATATATCGTGAGTAT